AAAATTTGAGAGGCCCTGGCTTTTGTTTTTCTCCCCACCATTCTGCCCTGGAAACTCCCAAAGAAATTGTATTTCTGGGGTGCCTGGGTGGCTTCGGCTCAGGTCGTGATCCCAGGGTCCTGGGATCAGGCCCTGCATCGGACTCCCTGCTCAGAGGGAAGCCTACTTCTCCCTCTTCCACTCCCCCTGCTTGTGTTCCTTCTCTCGCTGTCTCTCTGTCAAACAAATAAAATCTTTAAAAAAAAAAAAGAAAAGAAACTGTATTTCTGTCATTTCTGTATTCTCAGAGCCTAGCACAGCGCCTGTCACAGAGGGGTGTTAAATAACTCCTTCCTGAGTGAGCAAAACCCCTGACTTAATAATATGCCCGTGATCTTGGGAAACCTGTACCTCCTCTGTTTTCCCTGCTATAAGTTGAGGTTGGACCTGATGACCTAAGCACCTGGAAGGCCCTTTCTAGCTCTAGCACCTTTGGATGCTATCCCTGGGGTTCTGAAGGGAAGTCATAGGTCTTTTTTTTTCCTAAACAAAGCCCCAAGTTGTCAGGCAGAGATGATCACTGATTACAGTGGATCAACCTCTGCTCTCTGGCCAAGATCCAAAGTTTTAGCTCAGCCATGGGCTTGGAAAAAGTGGGTGTGAGCTCGCAAAGACCACGTGTCCGAGCAGAGGTTTCCAGGAGAGCCAAGGGAGGGCAGGGGAAGTCAATTTGGCTTTACGCTGCCCTCCTGGCTATTGCTGTAGCCACGGCTAATGCTAATGTCCTTAACCTTGATTTTATATTGCAATCACCTAAGGAAGCTTTAAAAATATTCATGCTCGTTAAGCAACTGCCTTTGGCTCAGGTCATGATCCTGGAGTCCTGGGATCGAGTTCCGCATTGGGCTCCCTGCTCAGCGGGGAGTCTGCGTCTTCCCCTGACCCTCCCCCCTCTCATGCTCTATCTCATTCTCTCTCTCAAATAAATAAATAAAATCTTTCAAAAAAATATTCATGCTCACCCCGGAGATTCTGATTTAACTGGCCTGGGGTATGATCTAAGCATCTGGAGTTTTAAAGACTCCCCAGCTGATTCTAATGCGCATTCAAGGTTAAAAGCCCACTAAGATTACGTTGTGGTGATGGGTAAGACCTCGAGCTAGGTTGACATTCTGGCTTTGCTACTTACTAGCTGGCTAATCTTGGGTGTTACTTCTCTTTGAACCTGTTGCCCCATTTGTGACAATCAAATGAGATCATGCATGTAACAGCACTAAGCCAGAAAGAACTGCTAAACAAATACTTAGGGGCAGCTATTAATGAGTAAACAGAAGCCTCTGTGGCTCTCCTAAGGAAAGATTAAAACTCTCTGAGCCCGTGGAGCCGTGGCTCGCCAGCTTGCATCAGAATCACTTGTAGGGCTTGTGAAAACAAATTGCTGAAGACTTCCTTTCCCCTAAATTTCTGGTTCAGTAGGTCTCAGGTAGGGCTCTAGAATGTGCATTTCTAGCATGTTCTCAGGTGCTGCTACTGCTGTCCCAGAGAGCACGCTTCGAGAATCACTGTTCCGGAGCAGGGTTTTTCAAGAGCATCACTGACATTTCGGAGCATCTAATTCTTTGAGCAATTCTGGCCCCTACCCGCTAGATGTGCATAGCATCCCTCTGCTTGTGACGATCAGAAGTCTTCAGACATTGCCAAGTGTCCGCGGCGGGGGCGGGGGGGTGCGGGCAAAATTGCTGAGTTGAGAACTACTGATCTAGAGGATAAAAATTAAAGATCTAAGAGTTTAGGTGGGTGTCAGAGGCAAGGGAGGAAAAGAAGTTGAAGCCTAGAAGAAAGGGAGTTTGGAAATGGCTCAGGGCTTGATGCAGAGAGGGTGGGTCTGGGATACTGAGACAATTGACCAGAGGGCAGAGGGCAGGCTCAGAGCTCAGACTTGGCTTCATTTAGTCCCACAGGAATAGGGGCTGTCTTTTAAGTCTGGCCCCTCCCTTTGTCCTGGGACATAGCTGTCAAGCCCTAAAGTCTCTCGGAAGGAGCAATTCTGTCCTAACTCAAATGGCCTGATGGGCTTTCCCTACGCCTCCACTGCCTGCAGCCCCAAATTGCTCAGCTCTCTCTCACACCTCAGTTTACCATCCATGCACTTCTGAGATATTAACAAGCAGCAGACTCCAGGTCTATCAGTGAGAAATGCGTAACTGGAGTTTTGCTGTGAAGAATCAGATTCCTGACCTGTTCAAATCCACCTCCCTCAGAGCTCAGCCCACAAAACTCAACCACCCAGCGCAAAAGATTTGGTTCTTTAAGTGCCAATGGTATTAAGTGCGAGAGACTGTGGAAGTCATAAAGGGAAATTAACTGAAAACCAGAGATGGCCATTACTCATTCGGGAGCAATCTATCTCTCCCAAAGTGAGAATACAATTTGCACACTCTGGGGATGTTTTATACTCAAATCTTTATTCCCCAGGCTAGGGCTGCTATTCCCTTCAAATTCTAAATGGTGTTGCTATTTCCTGCTAATGGCTTCTATCCAGCCTTTGAAGAAGGCACTTGGGAGGGGCAAAGAGGCTGAGGTTAGAGGAAAGCCCTTGCAGTCTCCAGGGCCTTGGTTCCTCCTAGTCACAGCCAACTTCTCAAGGGACTGGTAGGCTTTGAAAGTGCAGTGTTAAGGTTCAAGTCTTGTTCTCCCCTAAGCCAAGAGAGAGACAGAAGATGGGGGAGGAGCCTGGTGCTTGAGAAGGATTTGGGAGTAAAGTCTGAGAGTGCTAGAGGTGTGAAGACTAGCTTGCAAACCATTTTTAGCCAAATCTGTTCTGGTTAAAGGCATAACCTTCTGTATAATTATTGCTCACGCCTGAAATCTGAGTCACTATTCCCTGTGAAGATTCCTCTATAGTTTTTTTTAGTATTTATTTGACACACACAGAGAGAGAGAGAGAGCACAAGCAGGGGGAGTGGCAGGCAGAGGGAGAGGGAGAAGCAAGCTCCTCACTGAGCAAGGAGCCTGATGTGGGACTCAATCCCAGGACTCTGGGATCATGACCTGAGCCAAAGGCTGATGCTTAACGACTGAGCCACCCAGGCGCCCCTATAGTTTGTGTTTTAAAGACTCTGAACAGTACTGCAGTAAAGCTGATTGCACTTTATCTAACCCAGTTTCCCCCCAAACTTATCTGGGCGTGGGCTCTTTATGTCCTAATGTCCCTAACGTATCAGGTAAACTGTTCTGTGGAATACACTTTAGGAAACCTTAACCTATAGGATCTAGTACATAAAGGACAAACTCTCCAGGATTTGGCTCCAACTTAACTCTGCAACTTTCCTGTCCCCACCTCTGACCAAGCTGAAGTTCTTTTGGTTCAGGAAATGCACGAAGCTTTCAAGCTTGTGCCTGTAGTTTCTTGGAACGCACATGTTCTTTGTCCACCTGGCAACACCCTTAGCCATTCTCTAAGTCCCAATCTGAGCATGATCCCATCACCTGTGAGACTTCCTGAACTCTGGCAGGCACAATAAATTACTTTGTTTGCAGTACACTTTATTCAAATTTCATTCACTCTATTAAAAGTAATCGGCTTGACAGCTTTACCATCCCGTTGGTTCCTTCATTAATGACTTAAATAAATCTTGGACGTGTGCTCACTTAAAACTATCCTCTCTCTCTTACAACTTGAGATAAACAGATGACTCAGGTTTGGGAGCTATATGTGTAAAATCAAACATGTTCCAAACAGGCGGCAGGTGTGAAGACCTCTGGGTTGAGACAGGAGGTTCTGAGAAGACACACACCACACCCCCATGCCAGATGGGATTCATCAGTGCCAGTGTGTGTGCTGGGCGCAGTCATCCAGTGATCCAGGGACAGAGTAACCTGTTTTGAGGGTGGAAAGCAACTAATAGCATTTCTTAATGTCCCTGTCAGTTTAGGAAAGACAGAAAAGGAAGCAGAAGCACAAAAAAGTCATGACGATGTCATGGTCCAATGACACCACAACTTGATCATATTCCTTCTGAGTTGAGTTTGATGCAGCATTCCAGCCGGCCACTCCTATTGGCTGAGGCTGCCCCCAATCTAATGCCCACTTCAGGGACCCTGACTGTAGGGACCACTGCTCAGAATAGTGCTTTTGGCAGGAGGCAAAGTAGAAACAGACCTTGTTCATTAAAGATCATGTCAAAGTATACAAAAACTAAGTTCTTTTTTTCCCTTTTCTTTTTTTAAAGATTTTGTTTATTTATTTTTAAAGATTTATTTGTTTATTTATTTGACAGAGAGAGAGAGAGCACAAGCAGGGGGAGCAGCAGGCAGAGGGAGAGGGAGAAGCAGGCTCCCCACTGAGCAGGGGGAGCCCGATGTGGGTCTTGATGTGGGGCTCGATCCCAGGACCCCGGAATCACGACCTGAGCCAAAGGCAGTCACCCAACCAACTGAGCCACCCAGGCACCCCGATTTTGTTTATTTATTTGACAGAGAGAGACTACAGCGAAAGAGGGAACACAAGCAGGGGGAGTGGGAGAGGGAGAAGCAGGCTTCCTGCAGAGCAGGGAGTCCGATGCGGGGCTCGATCCCAGGACCCTGGGATCATGACCTGAGCCGAAGGCAGATGCTTAACGACTGAGCCACCCAGGCGCCCCCCAAAACCAGGTTCTTTTAGACTTTATCACCTCTTGACTGCTATGCGTCTACTAGGAGAGAAATTGTTTGTTATGAGTAATTATTCTCTGGGAATAAATCTTCATGGGAGTAAATCTAAAAAGACGAAAAGGGGGGAAAAGCCCTAAACATCCCTGTAAATAGCATCTTGGGAGTTTATTATTTATTTATTTTTTTTTAAAAAAGATTTTATTTGAGAGAGACACAGCGAGAGAGGGAACACAAGCAGGGGGAGTGGGAGGGGGAGAAGCAGGTCTCCTGCGGAGCAGGGAGCCCGATGCGGGGCTTGATCCCAGGACTCTGGGATCACGACCTGAGCCGAAGGCAGACGCTTAACGACTGAGCCACCCAGGCGCCCCGCATCTTGGGAGTTTAAATGGATTGTATCCCCCTGGCCCCATCATGCCCAGCTCAGATTTACAACGATCAAGCTTCAAAGAAAAGACAGCAATAAATCCAATCCACATGGCTCTTGTAAAAAGGCATCTACTTGGTTTTTAATACAAAATGACTCAGAGAAACACAGAAAGAAAAATATACAAGCCAGTTATTGAATTAAAAAAAAAAAATCCCCAACAAACATATTTCAGTCACATTCCCTGTTTTTGGCCTGGATTAGGAAACAGGAAACTACAAACCAATCCATGTCTGTCTCTTTGAAGAAATCTTCCTTAAAAAAAAAAAAAATAGAGGAAAAAACCCAAACAGTCCCTGAAATCTGGCCGGTGGTTTTTAGAGGCTATTGTCAGCTTGCCTTAATCATCCGGGTGGAATAGGATACCAGTGGTTGCTGGAATATGGCCACCTCCTCCTTGCTTGCTAGGAATGATCTTCATCTGAGGGAGGCTGCTGGCCTGGGCACCACTGGATGCCACTTATGCCACCTGAGGTCTCAGGGTCAAGCAGCCAGTGGGTCTTCCATTCCGTGTCTTCACTGAATCTCCCCCATATACAGTCTCTTGTCGCTGGATGCTGAGAGAACTGAGGTGAAGAGAATGGAGAAGATAACTGGAACTAATGAAGGCTCAAGGAGACTTGGTGCTCAAGGGCTCTTGTGTCAAGAGCCAATTTTGGTATAAAAAAGCAATTGGATTTAGCTTAAATTCCCCTCCTCTTCAACACTACTCACAGGAAACTGCAGCCTGGCTTTTCAATCCAAGTCCTCTTGAAACCACAAGGGTGGACTGTGCTATGGGAAATGCATTATCAGGGTCTAAACCCTGATGTCCCATGTCAGCCAAACTCTTTGAAAAAGACCTTCTCAGCCATTCTAGGGAAGAATCAATGTCTGTACCAGTCATTTTATAAATGTATTTTTGCTTGTTATAGTTAGCCCTGGAGAAAGTTACATTCTCTCCTTAAATTCAAGGCCCATTGTTTAATTAGCTAGCCAATAAAATGTTAAGTTGTAATTTATAGCTGAATATTAAAAAATACTATTTATCCAAATATGTCACTGAAACATAGACTTGAAAGCAAGTAAACTTAAGAGAACTAGAAACAGATTAACCAGGCTCCCTTTGAGATTAAGAAGAAGATGGAACATGTTCTTCCCGTCACCATTTAAAACCATGGCGAGACTGTCAATGGACAGCCATAAAGGCTACCTGGAAATTCACATACAACAGATATCCACCTCTGCCTTTGTATTTTCAGGGCCCCTTTAGGGAGATTCCCAGTTTCCCTTTCCCCAAAGTCAGGACAGACTTACTGATGGGCTCATCGGGGTGGAAAGCCACTTCATTGATGGAGCCAGCATGTCCAGGCAGCTTATACAAAATCCTCCGGCTTGTGGTATCCCACACATACACGAACCTGCAAGATATCATAAGGAGCAATGCTAAAGCTTCCTAGAGCTGAGGGGAGGGTAAAGGCATGGCTTTTTAAGAGAAATGGATGCAAAGATTTACTTATGTACCCGTATTTACTGAACTGTGTTCTGGCATTTGGAAACTAGGAATATAGATTCTGAATAAGGGATGGATCCTACCCCTGAGTAACTGAACAGAGATATAGGAATAACTAAAACTATAAGCATTACTGGTATTTCAAACATAAGTTTTTTTTTTTTTTTTTAAGATTTTATTTATTTATTTGACAGAGAGAGAGACAGCAAGAGAGGGAACACCAGCAGGGGGAGTGGAAGAGGGAGAAGCAAGCTTCCCGCTGAGCAGGGAGCCCAACATGGGGCTCGATCCCAGGACCTTGGGATCATGACCTGAGCCAAAGGCAGATGCCCAGCGACTGAGCCACCCTGGCGCTCCTCCAACATAAGCTTTCGAGATAGGAAAGAACATGGAGAAGAAAGACAGTTTTTCCTACGGTCCCCACACAGAAATCTTCCAAAGAGCACCTGATATTCATCCAGGAGGTCTTTTTTTTTTTTTTTTAAAGACTTTAATTATTCATTTGAGAGAGAGACAGAGAGAGCACAGGCAGGGGGAGAGGGAGAAGCAGACTCCCCACTGAGCTGGGAACCCAACATGGGGCTCGATCCCAGGACCTGGAGATCATGACCTAAGCTGAAGGCAGACGCTTAACCACCTGAGCCACCTAAGTGCCCCCATCCAGGAGGTCTTACAGGTAATCCAACTCACGGCAGGCTGGGAGCCTAGGTTGCAGATCCACTGGAGCTTCTCAGTACTGCATTCAAATCACAGAGACCAGAGAAGGGACAGAAAATTTCTGCGTTATAAAACAACCCAAATAGGGGCACCTGGGTGGCTCAGTCATTAAGCGTCTGCTTTTGGCTCAGGTCGTGATCCCAGGGTCCTGGGATCGAGCCTCACATTGGGCTCCCTGCTCTGTGGGGAAGCCTGCTTCTCCCTCTCTTACTCCCCCTGCTTGTGTTCCTTCTCTCGCTATGTCTCTGTCAAATAAATAAATAAAATCTTTAAAAAAAAAAGCAACAAAAAACTCCCCCAAAAAACCCAAATATATACTTGACCCAATCTTGCACTGAATTCATGGGAATTCCATGACTAGACCAGCTAGTCTAAACTCATTTTACAGATAAGAAAGCTAAGGTGACAGTTCATCAGTGGCTCAGTGGCAGAACTAAAACGAGAACTCATAATATATTCCAGTATTCTCCTTTCTCCTACTACCCTCAAACATCTTCTATTTCCCCTGACCCCTCAGTTCTTTTGACCTTCAACCTTGCTTGGGTCATTTTCGGCTGAAGGGTAAAATAAAGAGACATGATCTTCATAGGACCATGCAAAAATAATCTGTTGGTAAATTTATTTATTCTTTTAAAAAATATTTTATTTATTTATTTTGACAGAGAGAGACACAGCAAGAGAGGGAACACAAGCAGGGGGAGTGGGAAAGGGAGAAGCAGGCTCCCTGCAGAGCAGGGAGTCCGATGTGGGGCTTGATCCCAGGACCCTGGAATCATGACCTGAGCCGAAGACAGACGTTTAATGAGTGAGCCACCCAGGTGCCCCATTCTGTTGGTAAATTTAAAGGGCTGGTGGTTTTCGAGCAGGTTATAAATATTGTTTTGTTCAGTCCACACCTAAAAGGGTACAGTTACCAGTACTTGATTATAAAATGCTTGGTGCTGATGTGACATTACACTTTGGGTCTAAAATACAACTTAATATGAGCTTCTTATTTGCAATGTTTAGCTCTCAAGGACTAGACTCAATAGGAACTAAATAAAAGTTCCAAGCAAGATGGGAGGGAAACAGGAAGCCCATCTGCCTCCAGACTCCTTGGCTCTGATGTTCATGCTCTCCCTACGGTCTTCTTTCTTGCTACATGCAAATAATGCCCTCATGAACCCAGCCCAGGATGATACAGCAGAGTAACAAAGTCTGAGCTCAGGAGTCCGAAAGACCCGGGCTCAAGTCTCATGCACCCATTTACTCATTAAGTAACCTTAGACAAGTATTTAACTTCTCTGAGCTCCTCTCTCCTTAACTGTGATGACGGAGACTACACTGATCCCGTAGCTTGGTTGAGAGAAATGGATGAGATGATGTACGCGAAGCATTTGGCACAAGAACGACAGCTGTTGTTATGACAAATACATTCATCATCCCAACAGACGAACATGAAGACATAGGCTGACTAACTCACTCATGGCAGACAGACTGGCCAGTCTTCCCACAGTCCTGGATAGGAACTATTGAAGGGTTTTGATTTTGAACATGAAGAGGGAGGTGATTTGCAAGTAGAGAGAGGAAACTTGCCAAATCCAGGCCAAGTTGAAAAGCAATTTTCTTTTTTTTTTAAGATTTTATTTATTTATTTGACAGAGAGAGACACAGTGAGAGAGGGAACACGAGTAGGGGGAGTGGGAGAGGGAGAAGCAGGCTTCCCACCAAGCAGGGTGCCCGATGCGGGGCTCGATCCCAGGATCCTGGAATCATGACCCGAGCTGAAGGCAGACGCTTAACAGCTGAGCCACCCAGGTGCCCCTGAAAAGCAATTTTCTGAGGATACATTTCCCAGGAACATAAAAGCCAGAACCCCAGATCTCCAAGGCTTTACTTGAAGGCCTCACTCTCCATGGCCACCAATTAGATGCTAAATTTAGAGGGGTTCCTTGTCCTCCCCTTACTTTGGCACGGCCACATTCGGCAGGAACCAGGTTCCTTATATAACAGAGTTGCTTGTTGACTTGGGGCTAATTGCCAGGGTGGCCTGTGAAATGTGGCCAACCCCAGCAGGGAGACATACAGCCTGTGCCCAGGCCAGAGCCATGAGGCACACATGTAAGGTTTAAATGAACAGTGGGGAGGGGAAGAGGACACTGAAAGAAAGGGCCAATGGCAGCAACAAACTGCTGAGAAGAAAAGCTTAGGCAAATATCACTTAAAAGCTTAACTACATAAAAAAAGAGATCTTTTCTGAAAATGATGTAAAAACACTTAGAATGGTTCTTACTCTGTCAGAATGCACTTTAGGCTGTGGGCCTGTTTCTTAAGGTCTTCCTTAGCAACCTGACTACTGAAAATCCCTTAGATTCCCTCCGCAAGGCAGCTTTCTACACCACCAGGATGCAAACCATCAGTGTGGCACTGTTTGACCTGGACCCTTGACCCCTAGAAAACACTCCACTACTTGACCTTTTATCTCAGCATTCAGAGTGCCTGGGGAAAAAAAAAAGTGGACTCTGGAATCTTCAGGTATGTTCAGCATTGTTCACAGGCAACAAGGTGTGGGAACAGACCAAGGTGAGGCTTCTCTGTGGCTGTGCTAGGGCCCCAAATAGAGGAGAAAACTCTTGAGAGTCTAAGCTAGCCCAGGGAAGGCCTCATGTTTATAAGATGGTGCCTGTTTTAGAAGGGTAGTAGGAAAATCTCTAAACGGAGAGAAAGATGGGGTTAACCTAAAAAGAGTTAAGACATCGCCCAGTGGAAGCTAAACCCAGAGTCTGCCATCAGAGGGCCTTATCATTCTTCACCATTCTGCACCTGTGGGCCAACAGCCTAGGCATGGGCACCCGCATCCCCACCTCTGACTCCCTCCCAAGGACATATCACCATAGATGGACCAAACGCAGCAGCATTGGACAGAATTCTCTCCCTTCTTTCTCTCTCTCTTTTTAAGATTTTATTTATTTGAGAGAGAGCATGACAGAGACAGAGAGAGAGAGCACGAGCAGAGGAGAAGGGCAGAGGGAGAGGGAGAAGTAGACTCCCCACTGAGCAGGGAGCCTAATATGGGGCTGGATTCCAGGACCCTGGGATCACGACCCGAGCTGAAGACAGACGCTTAATCGACTGAGCCACGTAGGCGCCTCATCTCCCTTCTCTTTCTAATTCATCGCTGAATGGCTGAGCCAGTTTATTTATTTTTTTTAAAGATTTTATTTATTTTTTTTGTCAGAGAGAGAGAGCACAAGCAGGGGGAGCGGCAGGCAGAGCAAGTAGAGGGAGAAACAGGCTCTCTGCCAAGCAAGGAGCCCGATGTGGGACTCGATCCCAGCACCCTGGGATCTCCTGGGATCATGACCCGAGGCGAAGTTAGACGCTTAACCAACTGAGCCACCCAGGCATCCCAGGCCGAGCCAGTTTAAACTGACAGCTAGGAAAGTCTCATAGTCTCTGAATTCAGCCCGGGGTTGGAAAATACCTAGCTCACATGCTGACACAACCGGCATCTAGCAATCATGGCACTTTCCCTATTGTACCTGCACCCTGCCCCTAATCATCCTCAACACGGGCAGCCATTACCAACAGCTGAGTTGATATGTAGGCTAAGATTTGAGTGCTGTCCTTGAGTTAGGAATTCATTCATGTAATATTCACTAAGTGCTTAGAATAGGTCAAATACCGCTCTGGGTTCCAGATGACTAAGACTCATTCCCTGACCTCTGGGAGCAAATAATTTAGTGATGGTGCCCCACTCTGTCTTAGTGTTAGATGTAATGAATGCTGATAAAGGTTAGATGTGGAAGGTGTGACGACAGTGCAGAGAGTGATTAGTGCTATCCCAAAGGAAAAGGAGAGTCAGGGCCAGGGCAAGTTTATAGACAGAACACAGAGGTGATTTCTAGAGAGTTAAAGAAGTCTAGAGAATGGAGGAGAGGGGACAGGAGAGAGAAGCCTGGAGGCACAGGGGTGTTAGGACAGGGAAAATTCCATGTAAGTGAAGCACTGTGGCAATGGTGGGGGAGGTGAGTACAACACATATTTGAATGAACTGAAGCATAGGAGAAGTATCTGATGAGGGAAACTGGAGCCAGGTTAGGAGCCTAGATTTTACTTTGATGGCAAAGGGAATCCAACAGAAGTAAAGAAAGTGTTTACCCTCCAGGTCAAAAATGAATCCAGAGTGGAAATGATGTGCTTGTCTGATGGGATCTTCAGGCCCCTCACAATGCACACAGCTTCCTCTCTGAGGACAGCTATAACTCTATGTCTGCTCCAGCTTGGTATCTGCACTTAATGGATTACACACGACAAGGTACCTGCAGAGATCCATCATTCTTCACCTCACACCCAGTAATCCTTACCTGTCAGCTGAACCAGCTGCTATCTTGCTTCCATCAGGTGACCAAGAGCATCTCAGAAGATTCTATAAAGATGAATAAGCAGGAATTCAATGAATACAGTAATGTACCAAACCCCTCTTTATTAGACTATGAAATCACTGAAAGACTTTAAATTTCTTTCTTTTTTTCTTTTTTGAGGGGAGGAGACGGGAAGAGGGAGAGAGAGCATCTTAAGCAGGCTCCACACCTAGTGCAGGGCCCAATGTGGGGCTTGATACCACAACCCTGAGATCATCACCTGAGTCGAAATCAAGAGTCAGACGCTTAACCCACTGAACCACCCAGGCGCCCTGAGACTTTAAATTGCAATTACCTTATAGTCTGTGGCCTAAGACTGCATACTTTATTTCATATAACATACAAACCAACTGTAGAAAATGCTTAATTTACAGTCAATTAAGAGTGGACCTGGCAACAAAATTTTATTCTGCCTACAAATAGAGCTTCCCTTTGCTCCATTTATTTTGATCCTCATTAATTTTATCTTGAAGGAAAATAAAAAACCAAATTCAACAAAAAATAAGATTTGATTAAAAAAGTTTTTTTTTAGATTTTATTTATTTATTTGGGAGAGAGAGTAAGAGCAAGAGAGAACAAGTGGGGGGAGGGGCAGAGAGAGAAGCAGGAGTCTGATGTGGGGCTCAATCCCAGGACCCTGGGATCATGACCTGAGCCGAAGGCAGATGCTTAACTGACTGAGCTACCCAGGCACCCTAAGATTTGATTTATAAAGTGAAACTGAGTCAAATAGATTCTCAAAAGAAAAACATATGTCTCTATTAACAAATTATCTGGAGGAAAAGCTGCTATCAAGAGCTGACCTAGGACAGGGGCACCTGGGTGGCTCAGTCGTTAAGCGTCTGCCTTCGGCTCAGGTCATGATTCCAGGGTCCTGGGATCGAGCCCCACATCGGGCTCCCTGCTCCACGGGAGGCCTGCTTCTCCCTCTCCCACTCCCCCTGCTTGTGTTCCTGCTCTCGCTATCTCTCTGTCAAATAAATAAATAAAATATTAAAAAAAAAAAAAAAAGAGCTGACCTAGGACGTGAGTACAGAAAAAATTTCTCTCAAACTTCGGGCCATGGTCCTTACTGAGGAGAGGGATGTAGTCTTAGGGCCCTAAGAGCTGGTCACTGGGAAGGTGAGGGAAGCCACCTGGGTAATAGCCAGGAAGTCTGGGTTCCATATGGAACACTGAGCTGAGGGTCAAAGTTTCCAAGGAACTAAAAGGATAAGACTATCTTGTTGAAGTCAGAAATCTTAAGTTAATCTTAAAATCTTAAAAAAAAGGGGGTCCCATCACTACCTACCTATGTGACTGCCTTCCTCCCTATGCTTCTATTAGTTTTATTTCTGGCAAGAACAGTTTTGATGAAGAACAGTGTTAACTGGAATGCAACCCCTTCTTAGTAGAGCTACTGCCCTCTACCCTTAGCACCACCCCCCTTTCCCCCCCTGAATTGAGATATAATTGACATAGAACATTGTTTTAGTTTTAGGTGTACAACATAATGATTTGATGTATGTAAATATTGGTCTTAGCACCATCTTAAATGTATTTTTGACTCAAATGGACAGTAAAGCTCTTTTGCCATGCAGAACTCACCTTCTCAAAGTTGTGCACATTTCCTTGAAATATCTTCACACACCTCTCTTTAGGAGCAAATGGCCGGACATCCCAGACCCGCACTGCAAACAGAGCAAAACAGTTATGGGCCAGAGGCCTCCTTAGAACCCAGCTGTAATCAGTATCATGTCAATGACAGATGCTGTTTCCTGGGTGAAGGAAAGCCAACACGGTATATTATAAGGTACATGGTGAGGCTCATTTTTTTTTCTAACAGACATAAAATGCATTCAAATTCCATTAACAGTGTCTAAGGGCAAAGTGGAAAGCAGAGGGGGCAGGAAGGGGAAATGCCAAACACATTGCTGGGGGTCTGCAACAGAAAGTAGCTGGGTGTGACATTAATTTCAACAAAACATTGGCAAATGATTCCTTTGCCAACCCAAAAAAGCCATATTTAACAAAGCTTTGATATGACAATCTAAATACCACTGACTACTGTGACAATCAATCTATAAAAACCAAACTCAGGACTAATTTTGTTCATGGGGACACATGACAATCTGAACTTGAGCAAGGTCAAATATATTGAGAGTATTATACTAATAATTAGAAAAAGTGAACTCTGATTCTCATTCTAGCTCTGTTATAGATATGGGTGGTATCAGGTAAAAATTGAGGTGGTGATTTGGTCTCCTCTGTAAAACGAGAATACCACTTGTTCTTTTTCTTTTTTACAATAGTACTTTAAGGATCAAATAAGACAATACATGTGACAGGGCTTTAAAAGAGTAGAGGCAATAGACAAAAATAAGGATTTTGTCATTTTATTATATAGCCATGACAAAAAATTCTTTTTATTTTAATAACCATTTAGGGAACCTCATCTTTTCTTACTGTGAGCAATGCTAGAATTAGTCAATGGTAAATACATCAAAATCAGGATATAAACACGCATGATAAACAGTAGCTACAGCTGTTGTTAACAAATGCTGTATCGATACTGGAATTCAAGTGATGTCATTTTAACTGAGTGTAGGAAACATAACAATCCTAGGATTCAGATAGGCATAGAAAGTGAAGGTAGGTGTGAAAGTCTGCTATTGAGCTGAGAATACTGTCAGAAAGTAAGGGTGTTCATTCATTCAAGAACTACTTATTCAGCACCCCCTGAGTGCTAGGCACTGTTTTCATTACAAAATGTCAGTGAAAGCATTTCAGTTTCTGATAAGCCTATGAACTTGTACACCAGAGGGGGGCCATCTCTAAGCTCTCTCAATACTAAGCATATAATCCACCTTCCTTTTTGCTATACTAAACCCATCCTCCCACGTGGCAATTCAAAAACAAGCAGAGAAGAGTCTGTTTGTGTGAATGCAGAATGTCGCAATGTTTTACTGGGCACACTTCCCATCCCACCAGTGTTTTGGAGTGGGGAGGGAGGACACACTGGCAGAAAGAGTGCAACTCTACCAACAGCTCACTGGTCATTCAAGTTTGGTTCTCTCTACAATGCTCGAGAACTGCTTTGGCTGGATCTCAACAAACTAATAATCACCAAGAGTTTCTCGTATGCTGAATGGCTCCATAGCATACCAGAGCTGAAACAGGTCTTAAAAGCTATATGCAAAGTTGCCCGGGGATTAGATGGCAGATCTGAGACTAGAATCCTGGCTTCTTTTTTTTTTAAAGATTTATTTATTTATTTGAGAGAGCGAGAATGAGAGAGAGAGAGTACATGAGAGGGGGGAGGGTCAGAGGGAGAAGCAGGCTCCCTGC